TATTGTAAATTTGTATATATATATATATATTTTTTTTTTTAAAGAATGAAATTTAATCTTTGATATATTTTGGCATCGTTGAATGTCTTTTAGTACCTAGAGTCAACTTACTGACTCTGAAAATGCAGACATTTTAAATAATATTTTAAAAATTGTATTACCTATGTATATACTATTTTGTACAACAAATCGAGAGATTTTTATTTTATGTTTTTACTATTTACATATATTAAAGAAACTTAGTTCAGCAACATTTTAAATAGACTAACTCTGTGGCTGAGTTAGTTCTGCATTGAGCAGTCTGAATGATAGACTCCAGAGTAGCCCGAAAATAGTCAAGTTTGCTATTTGATGCTTATCAAACCACATGCAGTTGATCACATACTCGATTGAGTGCATTAAGGCTGGCCAACAATGTGCCGGCGATAATGTTTGCTAACGTATGACAGGTGCCTGAGTCGCAACGTGCAATGAGCCATTCCAATTCACATGCCCAACCGCACACACACACATACACACACACACGCAGCTACTGTGTGGTGGTGGCAAATGAAACATTCATTACAGCCACTTGGCCAAATCGATAAATCGGTCAGCAAGCAACCATTTTGACTTGAACCCATAAAATGCCAATGTGCAGCAGAAGGCAACCGAACAATTTTGAGGCCGAGCCAGCTAGGAAATATATTTAGGTGCGAGAGCTCGAGCCAATCACACTGCGAATTGCCAAGACATAGAATTGGCTCTATGAAAATTTTGTAATTGGAATGCATATTGGCTAAAAATGGCATCTACACCGAACTGATTGCAAAAAAAAAAAAAAAAAAAAAGGACAGCAGGGTACGAATATGCACCTATGTATTGGGTGTTGGCATTGAGAAGCTCTTTGCTGAAAATATTTGCCAATATTTTTTTAAATTTCAAAATTCCAAGTTCACAACATTTGCATATGAAATGCATTCGTGTATATATGTTTGAGTTTTATGAGAACAAAAAGCAGGGCAATTAATATATATACAATATA